TATTACACTACGGTCACAGTGGCCGATCGCAGTGATGAATGGTGTGTGTTAATATCACAAGCTCTCGTAATTTCCCCCGTTCAAAGACGAAATACTTTTTCACACTGTGTAATATCGCCTACCCGAGAACAGACGACGAATTTACAACGGAGACAAAAGGATTCCGACGAAGGGTCCAATCGGCTAAAGGGCTGAGGAATGAAGAGTGCAAGGAGAAAGGGGGGGAGCAAACGGACAGGTAGGACGGAAAGCGGCGAAGAAAAAAAGAGGGAGAGCAGGATACGGGAAATGAAAGGAACGATGACTAGGAGGGGGGTGGTCCGTGGACAGAGAGAGGCGGAGAAGGATCGATAAGGAGAAAAAATAAGGGTTAGCGATGGTGCTAGAGGCAGATAACGTCAGATCAGAGTGGAGGGAGGTGGGAGAAAAGTTCTGTAATTTACCAAATGCCAGTCTACCGCACCATGCAAATTCCTGGCCGCCGGAAACTTAACCGAGATTCGAAAACTTACTTCCGACGATGAAGGTTAATCTCGACGGGCCCGCGTCGAAGGAAACGGGGCGAGAGAGCTTACATATTCGGGACACCAGCTCGAAATTTCGCCTGCGGAACAGAGGACCAACCAGGGTCCTATCTTTCTCCCTCTTCTGTGTCGTCGATTATTCAAAATTACGAATTCTGATCGAACAGTCACCGTCGTATCTGGAAAGTTAATGTGGCTTCCGCAGACCTCCACTGTGCTAAGGGACAGGTGAGGGAAGGAGGAGGATGGAGAGGGACGGGAACGATCTGAAGGTAAATGTTGATTGATCCATTTTTGCCGAAAGGTGTTTGCCGTGTTCCGGCGTCAAACAAATCCAAGGTTCGTTTCGGGTTTCGTCGGCCCTATGGTAGGATTCGTGTATTATCGTAATCTTGGGCGCGAACGTTCACCTGAAAAATTGCGTCCTGCTAGGGGAAAACGTTACGCAAACATTTTCGGTACCGGCGCTAATAGCCGATAATTTAAAGCAAACGATCCGTTGCTTCGTTTACATGCCCCATCACCACTCTGTGTATTTTCTTTTTCCACCCTCCATCGTCAACTAAACACACTCTTTTCGCGGGGGATGGTCTGTTCGTAATTCGCGAGAATGTTCTCGTTCGGACGAATAGAGAGAGAAGATACGAGATCGAGTTTAGTCCTGTTGTGAACGAAGTCACGAGTGGGAACGGGGCAGGAAGTCGCGATAAAAATCGTTACACCCCTCGCTGAAAGGGTAGAGTTAATCCGCGGGCTACGGTGATAACGGTGAAGGTGCGCGCGTTGTAAAGAAAATTCCAAGCGTTTCTCGCGAATAATTACAACCCGTGGATAGAGGGTGGTGGGGGATGAAAGAGGTGTAAAATTTCGCCCAGCTACAAAAGATTCGGGTTCGGTCGTCGAAAAAAAAAAAAAAGGGGCGCGTACGAACAACGGACGGAAAAGGATAAAAAAAGAAAAAAGAAAAATAAAGGGCTGTCCGGGCGGCGACAATGAAAGTGAAGAAGAAAGTTTAAAGGAACGAGATGGGGTTGGCTGACTCCAGTTTCCTTTTTTTCTCCTCTCTTTTTTTCTTACCTTTCTCACTCGTTCTCGTGGCCAGGGGATCTAATGGGGACCCGCGCGGTCTCTTGTCAGTCGGATTAACATCGCCCCAGGTCGGACCTTCGCCGTCTCCGTAAAAGGGCGAACCGGATGTTTATCTTTCGCCTAAGAAAATTTTCGGGGCTGGCCGAGATTTCGGATGGGTTAACCGAGCCGTGGTGTATATGGAATTATCCCTGGGTACAAAGGACGATCCACCCTCGAGAAACGGGGAAAGACAAATTTGACCGACGAAAGACGTGAAAACGGTAGAGAGTATCCACGAGTCTATCCGGTGGCCGTGGGTGGTTCGTTTTCCGTGTCGATGAAGAAGCACGAAAGGAGAATTTTGCCGGCGACGAGTAATTAACGCGTTTCCCGCGTTTTCACGGCGTAACCGTTGGAATGTAATACAACGTTGCATATTTCATTCCCCCGGCCCGTACAGCTCGCGTCAGCGTGTTGGTTGCACGAAGGGGTTGGGAGGGGAAAGACGGTTTAAAATACGTTTCGTCGAGCAAAGGGCAGGAGCGACGGACGGGTAAAAAACGACGGGGAAAACGAAAGAAAGGAAAGCACTTCTTTTACGAGGAAATATGAGCCCGTAGCAGTTCGGTCTCCTGAGAATAAGGTTAACGCCGTAAAGGACACACAATTTGTCCGCGACAGAAGGAACAAAAAAAAAAAAAGAAAGAAAATCCGGACTTACGGAGCGAAAGAGAGAAACAGAGAAAGACCGGGATGGGCAAAGAGGAGTCTCGCGCGCTCGAAACACTGTATCAACGGTAATATTTGTCATAATTAAACCCGTGGAACTAAATAAACCACAACCGACTTCAAGCGGAGTGATCAGCCTCTGCGTGAGCGGAAATCTCTTCCTCTCTCGTTCTGGTTTACTTTTTGAGTAGGAAGAAGCTTTCAGACCGGGACCAGAGCCGACTTGCAACCGGGTAATGCACAATGAAAGAGACAGTCGAGGAATAAAAGGGTGGAGGAGGAGATTACTTGTGAAACAGAGAACAGAGATCGAGCAAAAAAAAAAACGAAAAAACGACGGGTGTGATTCGTCGACGATAGAAGGAGGCTGGGCATTTTATTACGAGCGAATTAATTCGAAAACGCTGTTCCCGAGAATCGGCCGGCCGGCTGGTCATCGATCAGCGGGTGGACTTAAATGTATGTACCCCCGAATTCTAATCGAATGAAGATCAATTAATTCCGTCGACGAGCTATCTAATTCCGCACGGGCCGCGCCGGTTCGGTTCGGGGAGTTCGGTTCTCGTTGAATAAGATTAACGTCGGCTTGGTATACCTACGAATATCTACGGCCGTGGAGCACGCTATCGGGTCGGTGGGAAGCAAAGAAAAATAGAGAGAAAAAATAGAAAAACAGATGCAATAATCGTAAGCGACCCGAGACACGACCGGGGAAAAAAATAACAGCTGCCAAACGAACGGTAATCACGGGACGACGAAAAGGGGGATGAAAAATAAAAGAACGCGACACCGCGCGGGTACGACGAAAAATAGGTCGAAACAATCCTAAGGAGAATTCATTACGCTCCCAGAAGCGAAGACAGTCCGGTGGATAATCAGCGAATGGTGAAAAAAAAAACAATTCTACCTATGTCCCACTCTCTCCTTCTTTCTGTCTCTTACGCCGCGAAAACGTACGATATTTTCAGAAAAATAGAATTCCAACCGGTCCCGCTATCAGACCGCAATTCCCCAGCTCCCTAATGCAAACTTAAGATGATACGAAAACGCGGTTTGGGGTAGAGTGAGAGAGGGAACGAAGCCGTGGTCCGCGAATAAACGAACGAAATTGCGGAGTTCTAGGAAGGCGAACCGGGAAGCCCCCAGTAGTGAGAAACCTGGAAAAGCCGGGGCGCAGAGCGCTGGTCCGGTATTAAAAGCGCGGGGAAACAGTAATCAGACGGCTGAATTAAGAATCGTAAATACCGAAGGAGGACCGAAGCCAAAGGGAAAGCTGATTAAAAGTCTCCGGGTTGGAGGATACCTAGGACCAAGACCGTCGATTGCGGTACCCACCGAACGTCGTTTAAACCGAATTCCCAACTGGCTAATTAAAACCACTCCCGGTCGATCGACGGGCCGCAAATTTACAAATCCTGTACACGGAAAAGAAAATCAACACGAGCCTGGTTCCCATCCCCCCAGCCCTCCAGGCGTACCATTTTCAAGTCGGCTACCCGATCCAGCCATGGTCGAGCCCGACACGAAACGGGTACACGAAGGTTAACATCGTGAAGAAGCGTAAAATTTGTTCAGGGGGATGGACGGAAAACGTCGCGCGCGGATTGAAAGAGCAAGAAGCACACAAGATGCTAAGGCAACCCAACGAAGGCGGGTAATAGCAGCACCAGCAGCAGCAGCAGCAGCAACCACGACGTCGGTGGTAGTAATACCGTGAGCATCGCCAACCAGCCAGCCACCCAGCAGCAGCAGCAGCAGCCAACAGTAGGAGAAGCGGAGCAGCAGCGTCGACGGTAGTGGTGACGACGACAACGACGTCGACGACGACAACGACGACGTTTACCGTGGTGGTAGTGATGGTGCTGTAGTAGCGGTAGTAGTAGTAATCGTGGAAGAAGACCGAGCTGGAGAAAGGGGTAAGAATGGAGTGGGACGGAGAGAGGGTTCGAGGCCTGGAGGAAGGAGGAGGCTGACTGATCGGCAGAGTAGAGGAGAAAGAGCACGCCTGCGCGGAATCCCCGGGCGGGCGCGGGCAGTGCCACTGGAGGCCCGGCGGTTTCAGAGCTTCGCCCGGGACGACGAACCGCAGACGAGCCATACGCAAAACTCGGTCGTAGTTAGCCCCCCCGTGTCGAAAGGAACGTCGAAAAACCGGGGCAAAAAGCACGCTTGTACACGGGACAAGCCCATCGTTTGTGGTTCGCGAGTATTATCGGATTTTTAGTTTCGTTCATTTATTTTTCTTCTTCAATCGTCCGAACGGAACGTGTTCGGGATCTGGAAACACGTTGGAGGATAGGACGAGAGACACGTCGTGGAGGTAACCAGATTCCGCGTAGAAGATCCAACGGGTGTACGGATCTCTCCAACAGTTCATCGAGAAGATGATGTGATCAGTGCAATATATATATATATATATACATATATATATGTATACACCTTGATCAGTGTTGGGTAACCGTAAAAACGTGCGCGACCAAGGGGAATACAACAGAGGAACAACAGTGTGAAAGGGATGGTATGCACGAGGTCTGGTAGCACCTAGCCGAAAAGGAGGATGAACACCGTATCGTCGGAGGACTAGGTGGTGAAACGGGTGCACCGATCGTGGTGTGCTGGCCGTTCTACTGAGATGTCAGTGGACCCGTCGAAGGCAATCGCGTCGTCGTTCTCGTCGTCGTCGTCACTGTCTTCGTCATCATGAGGAGATCCTCTTACGTGAACTACTACGTCTTGTGCCTCGTGTGCTGGATTCTCCTGGGCATCACTGGTAAGATCAATTCCGCCCCGCGTGACATATGTTTCTCATCCAGGAAAACCATGACGTGTGCGGCTATCTTACTGGATGGTGTATATCGGTCGATCTATCTATCCCTATCGTTCTTTCTGTCGAGAGGATCCTACCCGGTAGGGGAAAAAAGTGTGCACATAACGTGTGTCGGCCTGGGTAGCCGTGTCAAGAGACAGCAAATGGTGCATTATAGTTAACCCGTGAATCCCGGTGTGCCCTAGGTTCAGGTCCCCGGTTGACTGTCGACTTGCTTCTGTACAGGCTGTTGAAGGGGTAGGGAGAGGAGGAGAGGGGGGGGGTGGGGGAGTGACGTGAAAAGGTGGACGGGGAGAGGGAGGCGGGGCTGTGGATACTTGTACTGCGGATGGATCGATCAGATTTTGGGGTGTAACGGTGCGTACGTGAATTTTGCACGCGTGTACCTACCCGCGCCTCGAAGCTACTGCTTCGTCATAGAACTCGAACGATCTGATCGCGTGGATCCACGGATCGATCGTCGAGCGAGAATCGAGATACGCGAGTGGGGAGGGAAAAAAAAAGAGGGACTGATGGGTAGGAGGATATTCCATCGAGGGGGGTGGGCAGAGGGAGGGGGGTTGCCTCCGGACCCGGCCCAGGGCTGTATCTAGCGCGCTACCCTTGTTTGTCGCGCCGACGGTATTGTATTTTCCCTGCACAACACTCTCTCTTCGTCGCTCCAGCTCGTTTCCGCTCTTTCCTCTTCGCTATCCTTGTCGGGTCACCGTGTCGTCTCGATGATTCTGTCATCAGCGAAGAGACCGGAGGGGTGAGAGCGTGAGAAGCCAGAAGGGTAGCGCGTGTACCCTCTATCTTCGCTCTGGCGTCGTTCAGGGACGTGTCGATCGATTTCATCTTCTAGCGGATATTTCCCCCAACGGAATACACTTATCGTCGGCTTTTCTCGAACTATCATTCGCCATAAACCACCCTCTGACGATTAATCCGAGTTAAATGATAAACAAAACCTCGATAGTCTGTCGAAACGATTCCTCGACGAGATTCTTGCCCATGATATCTCTCTCCAGGAAGACGGGAGTTCGGACCTTAATTATATATCGGTTTAAACGACGCTCGAAGCTGCGCTCGGTTTTACGACTCTCTGGCGTTTACGGCGGTTTCGCGGCTATCAAAAGAATATAGGTAACGGCACACCACTTTAACGTTTAAACGGGTCACCACACGCGATATCCGAGCAATTACACGGATCTTTCCGTTGAACGGACCATCAAGTTCGCGGCTCGTCAGTGTACCCTCGTAAAGAGATTCCTGGGTGGCGCGTCACACGAGACGCGCGGTGATAATTCCACCCCTATTCGCCCCGCCAGTCGCTGGTGCACGCGACTTTTCGCTGATTCAATCAAAAGTGTATTAAGCCACGGATACACCCTATACATGTTTTATCTCAATGATCTTCCACGATACGGTTCCCCATACGATATACAGGGGCCGCCAGACACCCTCCAACCAGTTCGATAATAATTTTCCTCTTCCGCTGGAGCACTCTCCAGGGCTCTTTCTCTTTCTCTCTTGTTTCTCTGGCCGGACACGAGGAACGAAGCCAGTAAACTGGATTTATTAACTTCGCCTGTGCTCGACAGCCCCGTGGCCCTCCGCGGATCGATCGCCGGGGGAAACTATCCGCGAAAACATTTCAGTATGCGGAAGCGGTGACGTTAACTTCGTTGTCAATCGATGTCGTCGCGTTACGTTCGAGACTCGGCCAATCGACAGACGTTCATCCCACGAATTCGGTGAAAATACACGCAGAACAGTCTGTCGAATCGCGAATTAAATGTATCTGGTGCGAAACTTGTAGAATGAAATATGGGATCAGCGCTATTAGCGAGGCTATCGTGAATTTGTTAAATAAATTATCCAATTCTCCTGTAGCAGGGGGCTTCTGATATTCCAGGCCGACCGAAGATTCCCCTATAATTTTGGTATCAACTATACACGCAACGGGAAATCGATTTCTGCGTTATTCCGCGCGATCCATTATGCACTTTCGGAGCGGTAACATAATCACGGGAACGGCCGCCGATTATACTTCACGGTGATTAACCGACCGCGCCGATAGGTTCGCTTTGGAATCGAGATTTCGGGAATCCTGGCGACCATCACTTTACGGGGAATCGTTTCCAGAGGGGATGGAGAATATGCTCCTTGTGTCTGACGTATATCGAGGGAAGGGTCGTTAACGATGTTAATTCCGTAAGTTGCTTGTAATAGTCGTGTTACACGGTGATTAGTGTAGGGTCAGGCGTCCTTTGGTCGATATGTGAATGGTTAAGCTTTTCGAATAATCTTTCCTCGAGATGTTCAATGCATGAGAGACAATATAGCTCGGTAAGGATAAACCCTTTCACTACCAATAATGTATCCCCAGTGGGGAGTTAAAAAATTCTGGTGGGTAAATTCTATAGATGAAACTGGTAGATATTCTGTCTCACTGGTACCGTGATGTTTGCTGAACATTTGCTTAATAATAGAAACTTAAACAAGTGTTTACTAAATTATTCAAATGGTAGGTCTATAATAATGTGCTAGCAGTGGTGTGAGTCGATTTTTAAGAAGTGGTCCTAAAAGGAATAATCAAGTTTTTCTGTCACGTTATACGACGAATTCCTTAACAGACGAAATTAAATTATTGTTCCATTATCGTTTCGATAAATTAGATCCGAGGAACGTGGTAATTCGCGTGAAGATGCGCCATCGATCGCATTTTCAGCACAGAGGTTTAATAATCAACATTGACATATTTGAACTGATGTTCGAAAGATAATTACGAAGTTGATCGACATTATCTTATTTTAGAACAAAGCATAGATGGACGGAACTCTAGATCGTTCTCGTCGATGAGAACAACCGTCATGGTTTCAACATAGTTTCGTTAAATATTCAGTCGAATCCGATGCCGACGAGGAGAATCGATTCGCCGATCGACATTTCAGTTCTGAACGTTAATCGGAACGATCATCGTCGCGGATTAGGCTGGTCGGGAACGATCGGTAAAATCTACTCGGGTCGAATATCCTCTATGGGGTATAAATAATTACTCTCTCAATCTCGCTCGATTAAACGAAAACGAAACCGCGCGCCACCGATGAAACCGGCCGTGGAATCTGAGTAGCGCACGGTGGAGAAGAGAGTAGCGGGACGTAAATGTTTGATGAACTGGTAAGACAGAAAATCGAGTTAACCCCCTCGGCAAGGGGGCCTGGGCGCTAGGAAAAGCGATCTTCGAGGGTGGAGCGGGGGTAAGGGACTGAAAATCCAGATTTATGTCTGAGTTTAGTGTCCGATGACGTCGTAAAATTACATCGAACACTCGTACGTGCCGTTCTAATAAAGCGAGTCGGAGGAGTGTGCGTCCCTGATGCTCGACTTTCCGCATCGACCGGCACCGTCTCCGGGGAAATATACGTCAGAAATCCTTTTTCTGTTTCCAAGAAATTTATTTCCACTTTCACCCGTCGTTCCGTTTTCCCGCGTGAATCGTGGGCCTCGTTCTTCTTCTTTTTTTTTTTCTCCTTTCATGCACGGTTCTATCGTCACCGGATCGCGCGACACGGCCCCGAAACGCGTTCTCGTTTACGACGTAATTGTTCTCTGTTAATAATCTAGACGCCCGTGTTGTTACGCTCGACTACGCGATAAAGCGTATTAACGATAATCAGGACGGCGACGGGAGGATGGCGAGGCGAAGAACGAGAAGCATATTTTGATTAAATCGCTGGTTGAAACCAGACCAGCAACTTTATCAATCTTTGATTGGATCGAATCGAATTATAATTGCTTCGTAGCGTACTGTGTTTCATGTGTGTTCGTGTTGCGTTCGATTGGAACGAGGTTTCCGTTGGAGTGTCAATTAACGTTGCACATTGTGGAATACCATCGATTGTGTGGCTTTATTATTCTTGGTGATTAAAAGTGATGCAAACTACGAGTAGTGTAGAGTCGAACATTCCAACCACTTATAATAATTCTTTGGAGGTCAATTTACTTTTAGCATTTTCTGTATTAATTAACAAAGGGTATGGATTTCGTTGAGATTATTTATATTTAGGATAATAACGTTTAAGGAATTCCATACTGTTTGTCGATTACTATGGGAAATACTAAAAAAATTTGACTTCGAAGAATTATTACGCTCGACTTGTTATACACTGCGTGGCAGAACTATAAACCCAGTCTGAAATTTTTAATTCTAGTGTATTGTGGTTAAAATAAAAATGAACCAAGTATGCCATGTTTGAAATCGTGTTGAGAAATAATGTATCTCCAGAAAAGGACAGATTACATTCCCTAGAAAGAAGTGGGTCGTTCTTATTTTAACCACAATACATAAGGGTTGAAAATTTTCAGGTGGTTTTATAATTATGCCACACAAGTGTAGTTTTGTCCGGTACTGTATATTTATTCATCTAACAAGGAATTTAGGACAGTTTAAGGGATGAAATCACCTCCTAAAGGAACTGCAGAAAATTCTTGTGGTTTCATCCCCTAAAACCGTATTATGGCACCAACAAAAAATAGGTTCGTGTACGTTAGTGTTAAAAAATGTAGAGCATCATTAATTTCTTATATCAAATGACAGCCATGACTGCTTGTAAAAAACATCGTTTATAGACAGTAAAAACAAGACCGTATACAAACGTTTGCATCACTGTATTTATGATACAATAAAATCCGATAAAATCTTCTTAGCGTTCTATATATAATTACTAGTTGTATTCTGAAAGTGTACGACTTACATCGGGAAGCTTCTAAGGTTTCAGTACAAGAAGAGATCCATGAAAGCCTCAAGGGTCTCTTTCTTCCATATAGTCCGTGGAACAGTATACGTATAGCTGAATAGCTACATATAATAGATTGGCAGATTTATTGGCCTCTGTACAGTATTCCACAAGGAGATAAAATAATAACAAAAGACTACTGTATTGTACGCAGTGCTGGTA